ACTCTCCAAATCCAATTCCTCTTGTGCTTTCATTGCACTCAGCATAAGTACATCTCTAGGCTCTTCCATATTAATAAGAAGAGATGCCAAAGAAGAAAGGTTGGGTTTCCAAATAGATGGATTTTTTTTTCAGAGCTACTGTAGGCAGCTTTCTATAGCATTTGCAATGTTCTAGTAAGTATTTAATGGACTGTAGTAAAAACCAAATAATCCATAAAACAAACCCTCAGACCCAACAAACATGTTGTTTGCCCTGCCGGAATGAACAGGAGCATTTGCATCTGAGCTGCATTGCACATGGGGTTTATGCAAAATGGGACTTGTGTGGGATCGGTTTTGTTCTCTGCCATTGTGGCATATGGACTTGTACAAGCAGTAGCCTTGTCTAGCAAGTGTTTGGCACAGACTTTGCGTTTCTCCTTTTTTGTTTCCTAAATTGCTAACAGCTTCATGTGAAAAGCGGCTGTCGGACAGGTGGAGGTTGATACTGAACCAAAAAATTGTCTGAACAGCAAAATGTGTGCGTGGCTTTTCCTCCGTGGTGCTGGCATCTGCTTAAAAGCAGGATTAAGCAGGGCTGCCCTAACACACACAGTGCATGCAAGCATGCATTCAGCTGATTCTCTCACCAATAACCGTGAAGTTGATCACCAATAAATGTCGTTGATCTTTTCCCTAGATTTTTTTCCTTTTGTCTAAACCAGTTTTCTGGCTTCTTGTGAGCTAATTCATAGCTAAACACAGGTTTCTATTCCATCGACTTGAGCGTGTCCATCCCAGAGATAAATTTCTCTTGAAGAATGATGGAAGAAAAATACTGGATTATGTCGCTGGTGACAGGTACTCATCTCTTAACAGTATTGGGCATGATGAGAAAGTAATCAAAGCATTTTTCTATTTTTAAGTGAATGGAGTGACTCCACTCATGCCCACTGGCATTGAGGCTGATGAACTGTAACTGGTTCTGAAAAACCAGAGGCACAGCCCAAAATCATCTGCATGCCTTTGTTCTGCAGTAGGATGAATGCCCAGCTAGCTGTTACACAGATTTTAATCCAAAGGTGTTTGCCACTGGGACAGAAAAAAAAAAAAAGGGCAAGAGATTGCGTTTTGCATTGCCAAGAGTCATAGATCCCATTTAATACGTTTTGAGATGATACTCGAGACAGAAATGGGTCCTTACAAGCTTCTAGCTGTGCTCATAGGATGTAAGAATTCATTTCCCATTGTTTTTTCCCCTCCTCTGCCTTGCTAAGATGAGGACAGAGATCTTGGTAGATAGCACACAGATCAACTGTTGGGCTTAATGGTGTGCAAAGGTAGTGCCTTTATAAAATACAGCCACTATGGATGAGCTTAACTGAAAGTCTTTTCCAAAGCAGTTTCTTCCAAATCTTTATTCCCTCCCTTGCCTTAACCAAAGGGACCAATTTGTTTTTATTTCTCAGCACAGTACTGAGAAAAGGAGTTGCAATGGATCTTAATCTGTGCTCTGATATTGTCCACTTCTAAAAGGTCAGGTATTTTTGCTGACATTAAATATGTTATGAGGTCAAATAAATGGATGCTCATGAAATGCTTTTGCAGAAAGCTGCATGCAGCAGATAATTTGTGTGTGTGTTTGTTTCTCTGTTAGATAAATGCGGTGATAATATTTCCTGTTTACTCATTGTTCTAGAGCACTGATGCTTAGGAGGCCTGGACAGAGGGGTCAGCAAACAACAAATGAAGGGATTGCTGTTATAGTGTTCTGGTTGGGTGTAATTTGTTGAGTATAATTTGGCTTTGAGGGTGCCTGTGGACTGCTTTCTCCAGCTGTTGTGCTGTGGTATTAGACAGCTGATCAGAAGAGAAATGGTTTGGCATTACAGCATAGGAGAGAAATGGTAAAACTGGTGGTTGGTGTATTTACCTATCTGTGCTGAGGAAGAGAGAGAGGACATTGCACCATTTCATTACAAATCAATGAAATATAAGGTTTAAACAGTCTGTTTAAACAGAAATTGGGTAAAATGATTGCCAGTCCTTTCTTTCCTCCAGATGGTCTGTCCAATGTAATCTGTTTCTTTCAGACAGGGCTTGCTTCTTTGCCTTGGAATCCAATTGTGTTTAGCTGCTGAAAGACCAGACTTAGTCTCTTGCTTCTGTGCACTTGGAGGACAAGGCACATGTCTCTCAAATTTCAGGTTCTGAGATCTGTTACAGCTGGGATACAGTGCATGTCACTGAATCAGGGGCTTGAAGCTGGGGGATGGTTCTGTTGTCTTGTGACTCTGAAGGTTAACACTTGGTTAGGTCAGGAAGGCTGGGATGCATTGCTTTTGCTCATATCTAGTCAGCAGAAAATAAGGAAGGATGCTGCTTTGGTTTGCATCTTGTTTCTGCCCAGTTGCAAGCTAGGCTTCAGTCCTTAAAGTGTTCCTCTCCTCATTCCTGTCTGACACAAAACTAACTCAGATTTGACAGAATCATGGTGCACGTGGAGAACTGGGGCAGGGTACAGGTGAAAGTTACTTCTTTTACTTCTCTGATTAAAGGAAGATGCATTGAAATCCAGAGGTGCGGCTATGTACCTCTCAGTGCACAGGCAGACTGCATAGCTATGGGTTTACCAGATAAATTGCAGGAAAGACCTCTTTTGACTGAACAAGAGGAGGTTTAGTTCCTTACCAGCTGGGAAGTGAGCCCTTCTGCATCAGGATGGGTCTTCCAAAGCTCTCACTGTAACTTGAATTGGAAAAGGTTAATCTGATTAGTTAGTGTTTGCGAAGAGCTTTAAGGATGAAAAGCACTATGTAAGTGCTGACTATTTTGATCCTGATAGATATGCTTTATCAGCAGTTGGCTGGATGAGTAAGACTCCTTTTCCCATTTGACTGTAAGGGAGCTGCCTTCTGGAAAGCAGAAGAAAAATATTTCAGAGAAAGGGAAACATGGATGTCCTGTTGTCTTCCTGGTGTCTGCCTCCTGTTGAGCACTGTGCATGCTCATAATACAGTGAAGCTGACTGCTCCAAATGATGCCCATGTGGGCTGATGACAACTCTCCAGTGTAGTGCTAGTAGGAACTGGTTACTGGAAAGCTTGGAGATGGCAGCCTGGCCTTTGAGGGTTGTCCAGCTGGTAGCAGGTTCAGTGGGTGATGCTTTCAGGAACACTGAAGCAACTTGGATACCTTGAATCTTCCTTTTCAACAATGATGAGACAACTTAGGAGCAGAAGTGTTGAAGACAGGGTTCTGTAAATGGCACTTCGGTATGTAAGTGATCTGGGGCTTTTGCAGATCTTGCTGTCTCATGGTGGTCACACATGAGGCTTTCCAGCAAACAGCAGTAGTGGATTCACCGTCTGAGTTTTGCTGTTTTCAAGTATGACTTGGACAGTTTTGTCATGGCTCGATACTTGTAACTAGTGCTAACAGTAGTCATGAGATTGCCTAAACAGGATGCTTATGAATTCTACAAGCATTTTCCTGGGCCCTGCCTTCAGTTGCCTGATTGACTTTCTGATTTCTGTTGAGCTGCTTTGACAGCTTCCTTTTTAGCAAGGCAGAGAGGTGTATTTGCTTAGGGTAGCTCCAGTCCAGCCCTTCTCTGCAGGGTATCTTGAGCCAGGTGTGTGGCTGGTGCTTTTCCTAGGAGGGTGCATCCTACTGGGCAGCAGCAGAACCTGCTTAGCATGCAAATGCCAGGGGGCTGTTTGAGCAGCACAGTGACCTGGGCTGGTTTTATTCTCACCTGGAAGATTATCAGCTGTGCTTCAGGCATGTTACTCGTCCCGCCTTAGAGACCAGCTCTTAAACTCTTGTACTTTGCTGTTTTGTTCAGTTCAGGAATTTCCATTGCAGGTCAGGTGTGGAGGTTTTATGTCTTGGTTTTCTTATTTTAGGGGGGTGGGGTGTTGGTGGTATTCAAGTATTTGATACGCAAAGTGGAGACTGAGGAACTGAGCAGGGTTTTATGGAAGGGAAGATCCTCATGGGAGGAGCAGCCAGAGTTCATGATTAATTTCTAGAGCATGCATACACGCCATGCGCTGGGGAGGGAGGGGAGCTGCCTCCTTTATCCTTTATGCTGCTTCTGTCCTCAAAAGGAACATTTGTAGCTGGTAAGGCTTATAGATGTGGGATCTGAAAAACTAATTTCTGCCAAAGAGACCCAGACTTGAACTGCCTTGCAGGCTCTGTGAGATGATGTCAGATTGTGAAATAGGTGTTTCCATCCTGAATAGGATTTTTCACTGTCTCTTGCTATCAAGAACAGTCATCAAAGGCTTCTCCTTGCTTTGACTGCTGTCAAGTATTCTGAGTAAAGAACAAAAGTGGAGTGTAGTTCTTATAGAGTGGCTTCTACATTCAGAACTTGCAGGGAATTACAAAGGAGAGTGTCATGAAGTATTCCTTCATTTCCTATGTGGAAACTAGGGCAGAATGGAGAGAAGAACTGGCTTGGTGACTTATGTACTTTCCTGGTGGCTGAGGAAACCCATGTTCAGCTCCAGCTTTTCTGTGGGCTTCCAGGGTGTCACATTAAAGAGTTGACAGGGCAGCAGCTGGCAGGATCCTGACTTTCCATCTAGCCAACAAACAGAGCCCATCTTCTCCAAGGGGTGGTGCAGAGTGGGACCTTGACATGTGCAGTTCCCCAGAGTTGTCTGGGGGACTAGGCTCGATGAAAATCATCTTCTTGGCATCTTTGTGATTCTGTAGTCATTTCCAAATCCATTCAGTGTTGGAAGAATGAATAGAGGTTGTGAGTGTTGGAGTGATAGGAAGATGGTAGATAATAGAAGCAGGAAGATGTGAGGACAGTCAGCAAGTCAGTGGCTGAGCTGTGAATAAAAGTCTGCCTTCCTTTATCTAATCTGCAGACAATCACGCCTGTCTCCTGGCTGCTCCTATTCTTCCCTGCTCTTTCAATCTAATCCTAGATCGTCCTGCGGGTGAGATCATTGCCGCCTTTGTGAGCTGAGCTTCCCTCTCTCTTCTCTTTTTGCACGCAGGTCTGTGTGAAGTGCCCCATTCCCTCTGCCCAAATCTCTTCCTCTGAAGCGGTCACCAGCGTGTGGAGCCTGCCCCACACCCATCACCTGCCAAACCACGGCCTTTACCTGTGTCTTCCGGTGTTTCCCGTGCGACCCGTCCTGCGGGAGTGCCTCCTGGGCCACCCCAGAGTTCACGCAGCGCTCAGTGGCTCCAATGGTGAAGATGACAAGGTCCAAGACTTTCCAGGCATATCTGCCTTCGTGCCACAGGACCTATAGCTGCATTCACTGCAGGGCTCATCTTGCCAACCACGATGAGCTCATTTCCAAGGTATGTGCATGACCTCACCTGCAGGTGCTGGGTGGATGCCTCCTCCCCAGGGAGCGGAAGGATGCGTTTGCTCGTGCTGCAGGTCACTTGCTCTGGTCTTAACTGGTACTGCAGTTTTTGCTTGGAAAGTGGGCTCTCAGCCTAAAGGATCTATTTGTGAGCTGCTGTTTTTGTCTCAAGTGTTCTTGAAAATAGCTGTAGGAACAGGATTCAAAATTCAGGCCTCTGGAGTGCTTACAGGTGGTCTTGTCTCTGCTCATGATACTGCCTCCTTCCTCACATTTCCAGCTGTAAAAATGCACTAACTGATGGCTAGGATTGAATTGTGAATTACTTTCCTGACTTTTCTTGTTCACATGCATACTTGTCAGCATAGCCAAAGGGCTGTTGCATGATCATGATTTGGAGGTGAAGTGTGTGCAGATTTTTCCCTGCTCACCTCTGAACTATACTAAACAACACTAAAGCCCCTACTTAAGGAGAAGTTCTCTGGTGCTTCTGCAGAAATGTAAGATGGATTTCCGAAGACTGATGAGTGGTTGCTCAAACCCTCATTTGTTTGCCAGTCTGCTAACATGACGCTTTGCAGTGAAAAAGCAAGGGATGGACTGTAGGATGTGCTCTGAGCAGGGCACGGTGGAAGGATTCTGTCCTGTCATCTGATTTGTTGATCACGAAGGCAAAGGTCTCTATAATAAACTACATTAAAAGGTTTCAGAGCCAGTAAGTCGGGGGCCTTTGATGGAGAGGGAGCAGGCCAGTAAGAGGATCTCTTTCTGAAGTGTGAAAACTAAACATTCTTGGAGAGTCTATTGGAGCCCACAGTGCCAGGCTGTGGTCAGGCATCAGGTTTCTGGGGTTTGACTGCCTTGGCAACCAACTGTTCCATAAGAGTTTATTCAGCTTATAAAATCTGTGTTCAGAAAAAACACACACACCATAAGATTTATTAGCTGAGATGAGAGGAAATAGCTCTGTGAGCTGTGTGCGTGTGCAGCTTAAACCGGTTTAGCTTCTTGGAGCAGCCTTAAGAGAAAGGCTGGGATCACAAGGGACAGAGGTGCTTTGCCCGTTAGAAAGTGTGTCGTGCTTCCTCTATTCCTGTTTGCAAAGAAGATACTAGAACGTATCACCTTGCACTAGTGGCATTTGTATTTATGGGGTCAAAACCTTAGCAGCTGTGGAGGTCCCTTTGGACCTCTGAGTTGGGTCCTCAGACCTGTCTTCTTCCATTAGAAGCTTTCTCCTTCCTTTTTCTCTTGGTTGTTGCATGAGCCAGGTTGATGCGTACCTCTGTGATGATGTCTCTTGTGCCAGACAATTGATTTTGAGTATTCTTATATGAATAATGCTGATTGCAGTCTGCTGCTATTTTGGGTTTTGCAGTTTCTGGATAGAAAGGCTTCTTATTGGGCCATCACATCTGAGTCATTCTGGGACTCATGGGGGCTCCTCTTGTTCTGGTACAACTGCAGTGGTTCTGAGCAGAACTGTCCTTGTGAACCACAAAGCCTCAGGCTTTTAAAGAGCAGAAGGTTGTACATTTCCTCAACAGAAGGAAGTTTTGAAATGTAATGTCAACAGCAGTCTGTGCCCAGGTCTGGATATGGAATACATTTGACCTCTTGGATCAGCTGTGTGACTTCAGGCTCCTGTGCTCAGCTGAGCTATCTGTAAAATGAGGTAGTCACTTCCCTGCCTTTCCTTTGGAGGGTTGTTACCAGCTGGATCCTGTGTTGGAACACAGAAGATGCTATACTGGACAAAGAAGGTGGCTTGTTTTACTTATTGGTTTTATGGTACATTAGAGTTTGTGCTCTGCTTTATTTTGACATATCTGGGTTCCCAGACATTGGAAAACACAAGGCTGTGCATGCCCGGTGGTTTCACCTTTGATGTTTCCTTCCCCTCCTTGTTCTGTGTCTGTACTCCTTCTGGTCCACTGTGCAATGTAGCCAGCTTTGCAGCTAAGCAGCTTCCAGCAGGGTAATGCCATTGCTGCAGACAGCTTGGAATTTGAGCTTCTAGCCATTGAGGCATGCAGAAACTACCCAAAAATGCTGACTGCTAAAGTATGGCCATGGAAGGGAAGGTATGAAAGCACAATGTGAGGCTCTGTACTGAATCATAGAAAGTATTAACTACAGTGGGCTACAGTGCTTGCTAGTGGAGCACTAGAGGGTCATGCAACTTGAATGCAAAGGGTTTGGGGTTTTAGGTTTTATTTCTCATAGCTGTAAACCTTAATAAGATACATTCTTTGTATAATTGAAAACCTTATGAAAGTAATTGTGCAATCATAATTTGTACAGCTGGCTATTAAACTGAACAGAAGGGCAGTCCCTGCCTCAAGGGGTTTCCAATATGTGTAGAAACTTTCCCAGGCAAACTTAAACAGTCATCTTTTTATCTGTTTGAGTTAGGTTTTAAACATCTCCCTGAGGCCTTCTGCAGTTCTTTCATCGCAGCCTTATATATTAGCATCTGAAAACTCAGCAGTGCAATTGCCACGCTTGCTTTCCATATAAAAATGTGGCAAACGGAAGGAAGAAACAAGCACCATAAGGACTAGAAAGGGAGTGGGAGATTTTGTCAAACCAGTGTTTCTCAGTCTGCAGTATATCTCATCTTGAACATGACTATGTCACTTTAATCAAAACAGCCCAAATGACACCATCTTTGGAAACGTTCTCCAGAAAACAGGCTTTTATGTAACAGCAGGGTGTTGGTGATTTGGCTTGATGAAATTAAGTCCTCTATTCCTTTTGCCCCGAGTTGTGCAGAGACCACATGAATGCTGTGCTGCTTCGCATGCCATGAGCTTTTAGCTCCTTTGGATACATACAAGTTGCAGCACTGGCTCATGCTGTTGGCTGAAATGCAAGCTGGAGCTCAGTCCCAGTATTACTCTGTGTCTGTCCATACTTTTCATCTCCAAGTTTTCCCTCTTAGTCCTTCAGCACCAGTGTTAACTTACCCTGACTTTGAAGCATTTTACTAGGACCAGGTATCCAAAACCCTTGGACAGATATGCCTTTGCAGGGCAGTTTTTGGTTTCTTTTCTACTTCAGGAAAACCTCTTGCATTAAAATGGGTAGAAGGTTTCTCAACAAGCCATTGCTATTTAAAGCATATAATCGATGCTGAGGCTTTTAAGAAAATCCAAAGCTGTTACATGAAGCCAGTTACCAAAATGTTGCCTGCTTACTTGGCCTTTTATCTTCTGCAGCCAGAGGGATAAAGTGGTTTAGTGTGTCTTGATTTGTAATAAGATCTAAATTGTGGGTTGGATTGTCTGGCCAAGGAAGGTCTTACTGACTTAGGAAATATAAGGTGATCAGATAGATTGGGTGGCATGAGTAACTAGTTTTCCTTTATATGTTCCTTTGGTGTCTGGTTTAGCATAAGTTGAGGTTGTAGCAATGCATCATTTAAAAATCTGTGCCAAATTTAGCACAAACTCATTTCATTCCTTTTTCCAAAGCCTAAGTGGACTGAGATACTGGGATCTCAGCCTTACCCTGCAACAGATTCCCATGTGACCTTGAGTAAGTCACTTGATGTCTTTGTTCCTCCTTTCCCCACCTGTACAATTGAAATGCTCCTGTTTCGTCCATTGTGCTTGGAAGGTGAAGCTCTGGAGCAGGTACTGTCTGCTCTTATGAATTAGTACAGTGTGTCCTAATCCTCTTTGGCTTTACTGTAAAAGCCAAAATACAGTGCCAGGCAACTGTAGTTAAAAAGCCCATTTCAATGTGTTCCGATTGCCAAAAAAAATGAGTGAAAGGTACTTGTTGCTACGTTTATCCTTCCCAGGCACAGCATCCCATGGTTTTTAGAATATATTTTCAATACTCAATGGTGGCAAAACCTCTCCAGGAAGAAGATAGAGGGGCTTTTCCTGAGAAATGTGTCTCTACTGGGGCCTGGGGGAACAGCTAATGTAACAGATGTTTAACAGTGTAAATAGCACCTTTCCTCTTTCTCAAAGGGGCAGATGTGGTGCTGGGTTCTATCTACTCTGTGTTCTTCAAACTCTGTCACTCTTTTCTGTTTGAATTCATATGTACTTAGTGGCCAGTAGAAAAGGATGGGAACAAGAGCAGAAAGATACAGGCCAAACACAGCTATGGTGGTGTCTTGGTTGCTGACTTTTTTTTGCCATGGGAGCAGTAATTTAGCAGAAATGTCCCTGACTATGGAAGTATGTAGAGCATGTCTTGTGGGCGTCCTGCAGTTTTCTTTTTTTCATGAATTACTGTGATCCAACTGCTCAACATTATGCAGTGATGTATCCTCTGAAGTTAGCCTAAGGCTTGCTGAGGGAATTTAATGTTTTCCTTTGATGTCTGCATGGGACCCTTGCTGAACATGAATATGAAATCCTTCAGCACAAAAGGCTGCAGCTCCTCCAGCACAGAGAATTTAGAAAAACTACAGAACTGGCGTGTGCCTGACTTGCTCAGTTGGGGTTGGATTGTTAGCTAGGGAACACTTAGAAGCTCCCTTCTCTCTTTTCTCAGGTAAGAGTTGCAAGGGTTATAAGCAAACCTTGCTTCCAGTCATTGTGATCTATCCAGTTCCCTGGCTAGCAGACTGCTGGAGCCTGAGCTTGTTGGTACAACAGGCTCTTGATGAGCTTTATGGTGTGCTGAGAGCATCAAACTTTGCTCCATGTTGCAAGCTGGGGATCCTAAAAGGGTTTGAAACTTTGGTGCTGGCTTTCAGAGAAGCTGTGGATGAATTCAGCTACTTTAAAGTACTTGATACCCCATAGGTGAAGGAAGCAGCAATTGCTGGTGTGGTGGTTTTTCTCTGGGGGTGGTGTCCTTGTTTTCTTTCTGAGTACATGGGCAAGATAGTGTATTATGTTCTTAGTGCTTTACTTCATGAACCAGTTGGTATTTGTATGTCAGTTTGCCTTGAAGACATGAAGTTATTTGCTAGCTGGGGGAGCATGCACACAAGCTAAAACAATAATCCTAAAATTGTGATGTGGT